TGGAGAAAGATTCAAGAGCTAATAGACACCACACCAGATGAATTAGCTGAACACAAGTTGATGGAGATGAGTGCTTCTGAACCAGTAACAAATGATAAGACGTAGAAGTAGTGCCAGAAAATACATTGACATTAGACAATCTGGAAGAAGGGTTTCAATTATCCAAGACTGATTTTAACTTCTTTTATGACATGGACCCTTCTATTATACAGGCACTGAAACACGCAAATGGTGAAAGGACTGGTACCATATAAAAACATTTTTAGATAAACAAAAAATAAAAAGTCAGATGGAAATTATGTATTTCCATAAAGTTACACTGAGTGTGCCTTTCTCTCCTGACTCCCCTTCCACCTCCTCCAACTCTTTCTCCTCTGCCACCCCTGAGACAGTAAGACCAACCTCTCTGCTTCCTCTTCCTCCTCAACCTATTCAAAATGAAGACTTTTATGATGATCCACTTCCACTTAATGAATAGTAAATATATTTTCTCTTCCTGATGACTTTCTAGTATTTTCTTTTCTCTAGCTTACTTTACTGAAAGAATATAGTATATAATACATATAATGCATAATATATGCTCATGAACTATTTATGTTATTGGTAAAGATTCCAGTCAACAGCAGTCTATTAGTAGTTCACTTTCAGGGGAGTCAAAAGTTATATGTGGATTTTCGACTGTGCATGGGGTCCACAGCACTATCCCTTGTGTTGTTCAAGGAACAACTGTAAATGCTTGGGCTCAAAATATAAAAAGAAACCTATAAATTAGTAATTGTTTTATGGGATGTCTTCAAAATGTAGCATTAAGTCAACTAGAATTCAATCAGTAGTTATATAAAAACATAAGGGTTAAGTCATGAGAACTAAATAATTCATTCTCAGAAACTCCTAAAAGTTATATAAATCACCTCAAAGTTACATTTAACATGGGAAATAGGGATAGCTGAATATGTCTGCTGCCTTATGATATGCTTTCTAAAAGAGGGCATGTCCGGGGCCAAAAGCAACCCACACACACAGTATCTGGAACCCAGTAGGAATTCACAAATGTTTGTTGAGATGTTCCTGTTTATCTCCAATTCAATTCTGCAAGCATAGCTCAGAGCTTATTAAAGGCCAGCCATACTATGTTATTATATAATCAATATTTCTTCCTTCAAGGAGCTTGCAATATAGTAGTGGGGAAAATAAACTCATATAAGTTGGCTAAGAATGACATTTCCGTTTGAGTTCACTTTATTTTTCATATATTATTTATCCATCTCACTGAGAAAACTTCCAATCATGAACACAGCTTGCACTAGGCTATTCAGCTCTTCCAATAGGACTACACAGCCCTAGCTTTGTAGGCAAAACTTCCTGAGCAAATTTGATTTTTTGTTTCCATTTTCTATGATGAAATGCAATCGGTGAACACCCTTACATTGACAACAGTCCAGGGAAACATTTATTGAAGACCACAGATCTAGGAAGATCCACATTTCTGAGTAAGACACTCTTCTTAAAGGTGCTCCACCCTTGTATAAGCTGTCAGGATATCTCTTTTTGTAGTTTGCCACTTGTAATAATAATAAATCTAAATGTACATCTCTGGACACTTCTACTGCAGCACCTGATGAAAATTTGGGTTCCCTGTTCAGGACAACTCTCAATTTCACAATCATCACACTCACCCACAACTTTTCCACACTCCTGTTAAAACCTAACCCAAATTCCACTGCCTTCTGGAAAACTTTTCTGAATCTCTCCTCTCCAGTCTCAACAGAAGTGAACTATCTCGCACCCTCTCTGAACCACCCTACTACTAACTGTCTGCTTTGAAATTATTCTGCAAGCTTGAATTCTCCCTTGACTTGATTATAAGCCCATTTTTGAAAGAGACCAATCCCATCTTGTTCATTGCTCCCTTCCCCATTGTGTCTTGAGAGTCCAGCTTCCCATTAACAGCTGCTGAATGTACAGACTGAACTTGTGGGTTTAACTGAAATGTATATGCATAAGGGAGTATGGAAAGAGGATTTGGTGCATATCATCATCTTTATAATTTTTCTTGTACTCTATAAGAAGGTATTCCCCACAACCAATTCTCAACATTTTTTGAGGTAGGCTTCTCATTTTGATGGTTTTGGTGTTTGTTCCCTTTGGGGTGTTGTTAATGCATTGAGATTATCAGTGAAACTAATCTATAATTTGGGCTAAGTAATTGCCAACATCCACACATTCTTCCAGGGAGTTGTGTTTTATGGTGAACCACTTCCTCGCTTGACCTCCTTTAATGCATGTGATAGTGATTTCACTAATTTAATTTGTCAGCACTCTCCAATACTCTGCTGATCATTGAGGTATTTTGAAAGCAACTGAAAATAGCCTCTTGCCTACTGCAGGCCTACTCAAATGCTATATCTCCTGTAAAGAGCCCTTTAATCTTGGCCATTCTCTTCTACAAGGTCTTGGCTACTTTCTCAGTAGTCAAGATGTGGCAAGATGGGGAAGTTGAAGAGAACTTGTATGGTAGAATTTCATGCAAGAAGTCATGCTGCAAAGATTCTGTCTTCTTAAGAATAATCTCCTAAATGATTTCCCCTATTTTCCACCTACTACCAGTTCGGTATTTCTCAAACTTTTCTCTTTCCCATATAACCTTCAAGATTTTTACATTTTCTGTGTATCACTTATATATTTTTTTTTACTTAATCATTTTCTTCATTTCCTGTTTCTACTTAAGTAAAGCCTCACCTTAGTCCCCCCACACCCCCCAAAAATTTATAGTGTGGGGGCAGCTGGGGCTTTCTGAGTCCCTCCACTTCTTCCCTCAGATTTCCCCCTCAGATTTTTTACTCAGACTCACTATCATGGCCACAGAACTTTGCACACAACAGGGGTTCTGTAAATAGTGGCAGAATGAGTGAATCTGTTGACATCCCTGAGGAGGCCATGATCAGCTTCCCATTCCTCCTTTTGCCAAGTCTAGGTTGCAAACACCCTGAAATTGGTGGTCCTAGTATTATGACTGGTAACTTATAAAGTTATAAGAGTCTCATTTCATAATAATATACAAAAAATTTATCATCATTTTATTTATGTTGAACACTGCTAAAAGGTACAAAATGGACTTGTGTACCTCCCTCCAAATTCACACACACACATACACTCACACATATACGCATTTTAAAAAACTGTCACAGCAATTTAAAAAAAAATAAAAACAGAGCCTAAGAAGATCACTAGTAAAGTAGGGTGGAGCTGTTCTCCCTCACGGCTCGAATTGTTTGCTTTGGTGACCAACCCACACTAGTAAACAACCTGAAGTACAAGTTCAGCCTTTTCATGAGCCAAATTCATTACTTTAAGACCAAAAATACATGTTCACATTTGCTGTCACTAGTTAGACAGCTTATGTAACAACATTCAACTCTGTTGAGTAGATTGGCTAACAGTGATAATCTCCTTGGTATGGAAGATTTTAGATTAAAGCAGAATTTTATATTACAATAACCAGCTGATGGAGTTTTGCAGAACAACTTTAAAAATCCCCAAACCACAAATGTAATATTTGCATTATACACACACTCCTTTCCTTCCCCTGAATTAATAACACTTCGCAAGCACAGGATTTGGCCTGTGAGAAAATAAACGAGCTTTTCAGCAATGCGAACTGATGAACGACTTTGTTTACTGATCAGTCATAAAAGTTTTTGTGAACTTCATCTCGCACCCACACCACCTTGTAAAGTGACCCTCTCACTATGTGAACACAACCAGTGTCTACAGAGGAAGGAACCAAGTATTATGAGGATTAACTACTGGAATGGAATGTGTCTATTAATAGCTCATAATAGGCACTAAATAATGGCAACCATCGTTATCAAATTCAACAACACTAAACAGAAATGGGGAGGTGGGATGGTAAAGGGGAAGTTTAACTGAGCTTGGAAGGGGTTAATATGCAGGGTTGAGAGAATCTGCCCTTAGGAATCTTGCAAGAAGACAGGGATTCTGCCCAAATGCCATTGCAGTGCCAAGGATAGGGAGCCTAGCCAAAGGTGAAGTTGGGCATACCCACGCCACTGCCTCCAGGCCATCCTTCCATGCCTTGGAGTGCTCCAGGTGACACACAGGAGAACCTTGCTTACTGTTCTTGACCCAAGGCTTGAGATCCTTCTGTGGGCAAATGCCTGCACATCACCTCTGGATCATCTGAGTGAAGGACTCTGAGTCCCTGGTATTTGCAATAATAGATCTCATCCTACTCTTGTCCTTCCAAGCCAGCGTTTCTAAGAGTGGTCCTGATCTGTGATCACTCCTGGAACATCGGTTAAAAACCGCAGATCCCAAGGACCCAAGTTAGACTTGTAAATCAGAATTTCTGGAGATGAGGCCCGGGAATTTGCTCAACAAGCTTCCATAGTGGTTCCAGGCATATGGAACCTTTTGAAATTCACTACTCTTGGAGAAAACCCATGCTTTTTGCATTTTTTTTTTTTAATGGGAAAAGGTTGCTAGAGACTTTTAACTAGAAATACAAGAGAAGATAATAACAACAACGACAACAGTAATAATAACGGGCGGAGTCGTAGGGAGGGGTCGTTTGAAGCTCTACTTGAGAACCTGCAGGCGTTGGTGTTGTTGGCCTGTCTCAGCCCCCCTGATGCTCAGGTAGGAACTCCTGAAAAAAAATATGTCTGAGCCGCGCCCTATGAGACCATTGAAAGGTCTGGGATGTCCATTGCACCCTTGGGGTCGCCTAGGCCACAGGAAGTTTTGGATGAGAACTTCCCAACAATTCACAAGCCGATGCCCCGAAGCGCGCAAGCGCGGTGGCGACCCCAGGCAGCTCCAGGAAGCACAGCCCTCCGGTTACCTTCTGCAACGGCACTCAGCTCCCAAAGGTGAACGTGGCACAAAAAGGTGGGACTTCCGGCCCTGGAAGCCAATGCGCACGTGGCAGTCAACCGGTTACGCAATACTTCCTGTCGCGTGATCCTCAGGACCAATGAAAATGCATAATTGCAGTCCACGTGCGTCGGTTTCCGTTAGCAACCAGAGGCTTCTAAACAACCTACCCTCCCTCCCCGTCTTCTGTGGCCCAGCTATCCTCGGCGATCCCAGACTTGGCGGGCCACCGCCTGGCCACTCCCGTTCCTTTAGGCTGCCGCCTGCCGCCTGCCGCCATGGTGAGTAGCCGGCCCTCAGGAGCCGCACCGCGCCCAGGAGAGAGCACGGCCAGGACTGGAGACACTGAACGGGTGGGCCCGGAATGATTACGTGGCCTAGTTCGGTCTGGCCGCTCCTCAGCCTCCCTGAGAAAGGGAGGCTGCACCGGGCGCGAGAGGTTCGGTTAACCGCAGCCCAAGCCCTTCTGGGGTAATCCTGGGTGAAGCCTTTTCCCAGCAGCCCAGCCGCGTCGCTTCGTTTCTCTCGCTTGCCTGGGGGCGGGGCGGAGCCAAGTCAAGTCTTAGGTGGCAGGTGAAGAGAACTAGAGGAAACTGCTGCCGGCCTAAGGTGCGGGGCAGGGTTCTCACTCAATTTCAAGAACCTCCAGGTTTACGCACACACACACATTAACACATACGCAGGGTTCTCACTCAATTTCAAGAAGCTCCAAGTTTATACACACACACGTTAACACAAGCTCAGAGTTCTCAATTTCAAGAAGCTCCAAGTTTACACACGCACACACACACACGCATGTTAACCAGAGGAGCAGGGAGAACGAATCCAGCTTTCTGTGTGATTGAAATCCAACTTTCTGATGTGGATGTGACTTTAAGAATCCCAGAACCCTATTTTACAGCTGAGGAATTTGGGTGACATTTCCTTTGTTTTGGCTTGCTCAAAAAAGACCATTAATCCCTCTAGCGAATAAGCATGCCATCTTAAATACCAGTCACACTCAGAACAGTGCACAGCGCTGAAGTGTTCAGGAAAACGGATGAAACCAGGGTTGAGAGCACCACCTGAAATGGCTACTGAAATACCTCAGCAACCAAAATTTCTGTTTAGACAGCGTGTTCCAAGCGCTGTCTGGGAGCTGAGAAGACTCCTGTGAACTAAACGGATTGTTCCCTCCCCTTCTTGAGTTTAGACCCTCTCCACTCATTCTCTTGATTTCCCTAAAATATCAAGAGAATACGTTGAAAACAAATCACAAAAAAATTGATATCTCTTCCTGTTCTATCTTCTGTCATCCCTTTCCATCAATTAACAACTGAGGCTTTGGAATCAGGCTCAGGTTCTTCATTAGTAAATTGCAGATAATAACTACACAAGGCTGTTAATATGATAAGATAATGCGTATAAAATAAATAGCGCAGTACCTGCGAAAATATTAAGCATTCAGTATCTGATACGTATTATTAAAGTATGCTCATTTTTATCATTACAGTTTCCTCCTTGTACTTCTCTTAAATTGTATATGGATTTGTGGGCATAGTTAAGAACAGGGAACCATTTCTGGTACTTTACCCACTCCTCTTCTATCTCCTTCCACCTAAACACACATACACAATTTATGGTACAATTTCAAGACACTAGCTTGGCAATCCTCTGGCAGTATTTCTTGCTATATGTTTTCAGCTCTTTTTATTGTTATTTTAACAGAATATTTCTACAACAAAATTCAAACAAATTCTGACTTCCCCACTTGGATACCTCCCATTGTTTCTAACCATTTTAGGACTGATCATCATATCTACCTCTCATTTAGCAGATAGTAAAACTAATGTCATTGGGGTTAAGTGACTTGGTAACAGACTGTTACCAAGGTAGATAGTTGCATAGCTAGAACTAAACCTGGTTTCTAATCCAGTGCTTTGTCTGTTATACCACACATCTACCTATTGCATTTGCTCTCTAATGGTTTGACGTAGATACATATATGTGTGGAAGTAAAGGTTTGTGAATAGCCGTTTCCTAGGCTGATGCTATTTTTCCTTTTGAACTCAGCTGTCCACTTTTACCCCCTTTCTTCATTCCAATCCATTTTAAAGGAAGTTTTCTGTCATTTACTCTTCTCAGTTTGAGTAATTTTTCCTTCTTGATCCTAGGACAGTCTTAACTTTCCTTGAAAGGAGGGAAAGGAATGAACAGACAGAAACTGGCCACCTGCTGGCACAAGGCACTATGCTAGGTGTTGTGCATTATAAGAAATGATTCATGCCCTCATAGAGTTTACAATCTACTTGGAGGAGCAAAACCTGAAAAAAAAAGATAATCAATAATACAAGGTAGTAATCGGCCTATGACCGTACCAAAGAAGTAGCAGAGATTATATATGCTAGCTTTTAGAGGAAGGCATATCTATAGAGTTACTGAGGGCATACTGGGAGGTGGCACAGAGTAGGTGAAACAGGTTAGGCCGTGAAGGGTGGGTAGGAATTCAGTGATGTGGTGGAGCGTGTGTGTACTGACTGCTGAGAGCCAATTTTATGCATTTCTTCTCACCTCTTCATTCAGTGACATTATATTAGTGGCTTGAAATCAGCCATGATGGAAGTATTTATGCCATGGAAATCAGCAATGCTACAAATCAGGCCCCCCCTACCTAGAAAACCTGCTGTTAAATACTTACCATCACACCACTGGGTAGGATTCAGATTCTCGAATAGGAATGGAGAGAGATACTTTAGGATCAGAGTAACATGAGTGGAAGTCAAGGCAGGAAATTTTAAGTCATGTTTCAGGACTGATGAACAGACTAGTGTGGCTAAAGTCGAGTGTTCATTTAGTAGAATCCTGGGAAACAGGGTAATAGAAAGAGTTTGGGAGGTTTTGAGGAGTAAAGAGTGTAAATTTATACTATAGACAATAATGATTAAGAATCTGTATTTGTGCTTTGTTTTTAGCAAATTGTGACATTGTTTTGTGATATTTCTAAATTGTGGGATATTCTTGCCCATATTGATGTGTGACTATCAGAGATAATATTGTCTCTAATGTAGGTAGTCAATTACTTTTAGTGCATAATAGAAATCTGTCTTGTTAGTCACAACTCAGGTGCATATGCGACTGTAACCTGTTGCACTTGGTTACCTTACAGATTTCTCTTTCGCTTCCCTTCAGCTCTTGCTGTCTCCATTCTATCCTCCAGACCTTAAAGACTTATGCCACCTAAACTGCTTTGTAAAGCTCATCAGCTGCTTAATTACAAATTCAACTAACATGGCCGATGCCTTGCTCTTAGCTGACTGCTGACCTGCTCTATTCTTTGGGTGCTAGCCCTACCTCCTTGGGCTTGCCTCTTAAATATCTGTCAAGCTGTCATCTGGTTTAAAGTACAGACCAATTAGTGGTTCTTTCCAAATCAAATATACTTGTTAAAGCTGTATTTAATGGGGTAAGGGTTAAGCTGCTATAACAGAGTTGCTATTTTTTGCTGTAAGGTTAAGTGGCTTGAAGAATACAGAAGTTTATTTCTCTCTCACTTAACAGCCATCTTACTGCTCATCTCAGTTCAGTGACAGGGTCAGTGTCTCTCCATGAGGTAGAGATGTGGGTCCCTTTCATCTCGTGGCTCCCCCAGCCTCTAGGGCATTAATGTTGTCTGCGTGATTCAGTCAAGTCACCACCTCTTCCAGGTTTCAGAGAAACAGGGAGTGGCAGAGGTACACCCCATATCTTAAGGCCAGGTCTTTGGAACTAGACCACAACATTCATTGCTGAGAAGTAGCCAGCAGTGACTTAATTGCAAGGAGGGCAAAGGAGTGTCATCTAGCTGGGCAGCCATGCAGCCAGGAAAAAGAGAAGAATAGAATTTGATGGAGATCTAGCAGTCTCGACCACAGAATGTCTTACGCATTTTCATTTTTGGCTCTTTGATCAGTTCTTCAAGACTAACAATTAAATTACCTCTTTCTTTTTCAGGCAGAGTTGGGCCTAAATGAGCACCATCAAAATGAAGTTATTAATTATATGCGTTTTGCTCGTTCAAAGAGAGGCTTGAGACTCAAAACTGTAGATTCCTGCTTCCAAGACCTCAAGGAGAGCAGGTATCAGAGGAGGACTCTAAGCAAACCACATAGGAACATGGATTCTTTCTGGTAGCCAGTATGGGGGTGCCATAGCAGATGTCAGTCAATTTCTGGGATTCATCATGATCAATTATTTGCTAACAGCAGCTATACTAAGCCTCATGGATAGAGGAAACAAAAGAAGTTGTATCGTGGTGGAAGCAATGAATCTATTATCAGAAATGCATGTGATAATTATAGGATTCCAGAGCTTCAGAAGGGTAGTCAGGAAGTTGCCAAGGGTTTGTGGATTAATGATTGGCTGGTTGTATTAAAGATTCCAGAACTTTAATTACTTGAGTTATTAATTAAATGGTTAGAGCTCTAAGACATGGAAATTAGTGAGAAAACACGTCTGTGTTTCATACTGAATAATTAAGAGAGAGGAAAACAGCAGGAAATCATAATGCTGACTAGTACCAAAATTGTTAGTTGATTTCTAGCATGAGATAATAATGGTTGGACCATAGTTGATTTTTAGCAAGAGATGAATGTCATGTCAGACATAAGTGAAAAAGACCTCCAAGTGAGCTCCAGCTGCCATAAAACCATGAATGTGTCAGTATTAGAGGCCATCAGCCTTAGACCATTCAGCCCATTAAACTCATCTGGTAATCTGGTTTCCTAACCCCCAGCAGATGAAAGCAACAATTTAATTGGCAAGAACATATGTTCTATTAAAGAATATAGAAAGATTATTAATATTTTAATAAAGATTTTTGTAAAAAAATGTTCTGGTTTTTTTGAGAAGGACTAAATTCTGCTGGCTAGATGAAACATTAAAGAATTATAAAACAAATACTATTAAGTTTAACTCTGATAATGCTTTAGTGTAACTGGGTCTTGCTTGATGATGTCTTTTTGGAAGTAGGAAGAAAATAAAGCTGAGGTTGGTGTAGTTGCCCTTCATCTGCTGAGAGTCTGAGGGAGAAGGGACTTTGGAGGGTAGAGGTAGGGAGAGGAGAGGACTGTGTTACTGTGATACTGTCATTGAAACTAGAAGGCACACACGGAAGCTTTTTCAAGGATTCAGCTGTTGGGCATGAATCCTTTGCCCAGCACCATTGTTGAAGATGATTGTGGGATTTATCACCACCAATGTGACCATAGGCAAGTCACCTCCACTCTTCAAACCTGTGTTCCTATCTGTAAAGTTAGGGTATTGTAGAAGATGGCACCAAAGTTCTCTTCCAACCCAAGCATTCTCTATGTGAGAGTAGTTGGTTTTTGTTTTTTTTTTTGAGACGGAGTCTCGCTCTGTCGCCCAGGCTGGAGTGCGGTGGCACAATGTCGGCTCACTGCAACCTCCACCTTCTGGTTTCAAGCAATTCTCCTGCCTCAGCCTCCCAAGTAGCTAAGATTATAGGCACGTACCACCATACCCAGGTAATTTTTTGTATTTTTAGTAGAGAAGAGTTTTTGCTGTGTTGGCCACGTTGGTCTCGAACTCCTGACCTCAAGTGATCCACCTGCCTCTGCCTCCCAAAGTGCTGGGATTATAGGTGTGAGCCACCATGCCTTGCCCTTAGAGTAGATTTCTAATGCTGTTGTTGATGATGATACTCATTTTTGTGGAGTGTTCAGTGGAACTTTAAGATAAGCTAGTTTATTATTATTATTATTATTATTATTATTATTATTTTGGGTCTCAAGAATGCAAAGAGGAGCAATATATAATTACCATTTATTTCCCATAGACATTTACTAACCTGTGAATAGTTCATACAGTTACTAAAATGCTAGAGAAATATTAGAAAGAAATAAGACTATGCCTTCCAGGTTACTTTTGAAATTATTAAATGTAATAAGACTGATTTCAGTGGAGTTTGAAATAAGACATTTAATACTAAAAAGTTAAAGAAAAAAGTAGATGATGGTTTGGGGAATGTGTTTGAGCATTTACTTGTATTAAATGATGTGCACAATTTAATCATTTGAATAGATGTCAAAAATTAATTGAGTTTAAATTATTTTCAATGTTTATTAATAAAGAAGATAGTTCCCAGAGAGATTTTCACTGTAATCTTTGAATTTCTTAGATTGCATGAATGTGGGTTTCTTAATTTTGTTGTATTTTGTAGATTTTTTTTGTTGTTTATCCATAAGTTTTGGATCATGGTTGTTTTTCAGGCTGGTGGAGGAGACCTTCACCATAGATGAAGTCTCTGAAGTTCTCAATGGATTGCAAGCTGTGGTTCATAGCGAGGTGGAATCTGAGCTCATCAACACTGCCTATACCAATGTGTTACTTCTGCGACAGCTGTTTGCACAAGCTGAGAAGTGGTATCTTAAGCTACAGACAGACATCTCTGAACTTGAAAACCGGTAATAAAAGTTGAACTTGCAACTGTGACAGTAGTGGCCCAAGCATGATCTTAAAAGTTAGTGAATATCTTTGCTGCATATTTTCTTGCAGCTGGTGTGTGAGAAAATTTGGGTAGGGTAACAGCAAAGCATTGAGTCACTGAGTGATCTCTTGGGTACCACTAAGTGCCCTTTTAAAAGTTCTTTGTTTCTACTGTTCCTAGGTATTACAAAGGCCATTGAGGTTTATGAAATTGCTTTTCAGGCTATCATTAATTATTTTTTACTGCATTTTTATTAGCTTGGTCAGTATTACCATCTGTCTTTATAGATTGGTCAACTAAGAAATAAAGATTATGAGGCAGTTGAAAACTCAGTTCAAATACAATAAATACCATCAATTCAATCCAGTAGCATTGGAAGTTTTCTAAATAATTGAATTTAAAAGTATACATTTATTACTTTAAAATAGGAAATATAAAATACAAAAAAAGCTTATAATATGGACATCAAGAGCTCAAATTCAAAAAATATGGTAAAACTGGTGAAGTTGAAACTCATTTTAAGAAAAGGCATGCCAGAAATCAGGAAGGACTGACCACCAAGCCCCGTGAACTACTCTAAGCACAGTCACAGCACATCAGTTCACGTGCAGAGTGCTGAAAAATGCTGAGGACAGCCTGTGAGCAGGGGAGGAAAATCATTGAACTTCTGCCACTGTCAGTAGGTGACTGGTGAGAAAACTCTGAGAAGGGGGCGCTTTAGGAAGCTTAGAAGCTGACTGCTGTTAACGCTTTAAGCTTGTGTATAGTCACTTCTCATTGGCCTTTGCAAATCTTCAGATGGCACAGCTCCACTATCTGTCTTTCCTAGGAATTTGTGATACTCTTTTTCAGTAGTTACTATGGACTATTTTCATTTTTCTGAGGCTACTTTATTAAGAATCAGTTTGTGTTTTTTGAACACCTACTAACTAACAATACATATTATGTAATAAAACAACCTCCTCATAGCACCTCAAGAATACAAAGTTGACTATAAATTTCCCTCATATTTGTATTAGCATTGTAGTTTATTTCTAGCAGTAGATATTGCATACCTAGTAGGTGCAAAGTGCCAGGTGCTGTGGATGATTACATTTGAGTCCATGTGGTTTAGGTTCTCAACCATTTGCAACTAACATTTTTGATATGGTGAAGTTTGGTCCACCTTGCTCTGTTCTCTCTGGCATGTAATGGGTTGGTACCAGTGATTTTACTCTTCTTGTGTGTGGTATAAAACTATTTTAAATGAATAATTTTTATCTTTGCTTTCATCTTCAAGAGAATTATTAGAACAAGTTGCAGAATTTGAAAAAGCAGAGATTACATCTTCAAACAAAAAGGTAACTTTTTGGTCATTCTAAATCCGTATCTTAATAGCCAGTATTTAAAATCCTCAAGTCACTCAAAGAATTCAGAGATCCAAACTGAGAACTCTTAAGGAAAAGCATTCAATTCAAGAGTAAAATTCAAAAATTGTCTCTCATATTTTCAAGCAAAAGAAAAAATGTTTTGGAAGTAACTATGAAAAACTGCTCTTGTCTGTGATGGCCTACACATACATGTAATCCCTGAGTTCAGTCTCAATCCCACTTATAAATACTCTACTCAGAAGATGCAGAGCACAGGCTCTATCTAGGGTCAGCCACACCTGGGTACACATCCTGGCTCTGACTTCCTGGCTGTGTTACCTTGAGCAGGTTATTTGAGGTAGCTGAGCTTCATTTTACTCATCTGACAAAGGGAGACAATACTAGTAGTTATCTACTTCTCTTTCTAATCCTTCTCATTAATTGGAGTGACCGTTTACCATTCATTTCACAGACACACCGTAAATACTCCATTGTTGGGTAAATACGCTGAGATGAATCTATGTACATACACATGCAAAACACTTTCCTGTTATTCCTTTGGGTCATATTTCTGGCTAAGAAATTTCTGGATCAGAGGGCATGAATTATTTTATTTTTAATACATATTACTAAACTACTGTATTGTTTGTGCCAAGTTATTGTTTATCTGTAGTATACTTGCCTAGATCTTCATCAATATTATTGTTTTTCACAGAGTCTAAGGTTCATGTAGAAATCACTGTTTCAACTCCCACAAGTTAAAATTCTAGTTCCTAGATGCTAGGCTCTATATCAGATCTGGCTTTGAGCTCCTTCCTTTCCTCCTTTCTTCCCTCATTTTCCTTCTATCTATATTTTTTAAAAGATACAGGGAAGATAGGTTTTATTTTTATCTCTAACATGTGTTGGGCACTGTAGGACAGACATATCCTAGGCACTGGGAATAACAAAGGATGAAACCAACAAAAATCTCCACACCTATGGAACTGACATCCCAGTGGGTATGTTTATATATAGTATTTTCCACTTGCAAAGTGCAAGTGTTCAGTGATTATACATGCTTTATTCTGTGGTGATTTCAGTTTGGTTTCTTTATTTTGTTTCAGCCCATCTTAGATATCACAAAGCCAAAACTTGCTCCACTTAATGAAGGTGGAACAGCAGAACTCCTAAACAAGGTAATGTTATTATTTGGAGAAATGGAAAGCCTCTAATTCTGTCCTCTCATTGCCTAGGGTAGAGAAACAGAAGTGGAAGGTTTGATTCAGGTCCTCTGAGGATAAATAGTCCATTACAGTAGTTTTACTTGATGGTACCCCATGGGCCAGAAGAGGGCATACTTAACCTTCTAGAGAGCCTGAAGTAGCTCCTGATCACACCTTTTCAAGGTAAAGTGAAGAGCATGAAATTTTGGACAGCGTTTATTGATGGACATTTAAAGTTTGTGATCTACAGTAACAAGGAGAAGGGTTTTTAAGTTTCTAAAAATTATTTATCAATTAGCCGGGTGTGGTGGTATGCGCCTGTAGTCACAGCTACTTGGGAGGCTGAGGCAGGAGAATTACTTGAACCCAGGCGGCAGAGGTTGCAGTGAGCTGAGATCACACCACTGCACTCCAGCCTGGGCGATAGAGTGAGACTCCATCTCAAACAAACAAACAAACAAAATTATCAGCACAGGTTGAGTATCCCTTATCCTTGGGACCAGAAGTGTTTTGGATTTCAGATTTTTTAATATTTGCATTATACAGACCCTAGTTGAGCATCCCAAATCCAAAAATCTGAAATCTGAAATGCTCCAATGAGCATTTTCTTTGAGTATCATGTCAGCACTCAGAAAGTTTCTGATTTTGAAGCATTTCAGATTTCAGCTATTTTGCATGACCCTTGTATTCTCAACATTATGCTAGATGTTATTGGAGATAAAAAGCAGTGTAATACATGCTCCCTTGCCCTCAAAAATGTAATTTTTTTTTTTTTTTTTTTGCGAGAACCTTGTTCCGTCACCCAGGCTGGAGTGCAGTGGTGCAATCTAGGCTCACTGCAAGCTCTGCCTCCCACGTTCACGCCATTCTTCTGCCTCAGCCTCCAAGTAGCACCCACCACCATGCCTGGCTAATTTTTTGTATTTTAGTAGAGATGGGGTTTCACCGTGTTAGCCAGGATGGTCTCAATCTCCTGACCTCGTGATCCGCCTGCCTCAGCCTCCCAAAGTGCTGGGATTACAGGCATGAGCCACTGCGCCTGGCCAAAAATGTAATAGTTTTATTGGGAAGGTAGAACCGATGTTCTAGAAATAGAGACCAGAGAATCCTCTCCTGTGTGCTACAGGTGTCACACTGGGTAGCAGAGAAGATTCAGTTGTATGCGGATGAGAGTAGGTGGGAACAGACTCTTGGCTAAGGGAATACCTAAGCTGGGCCTTGAAGGGTGAAGACCAATTAAATTGTAGAGGAAGGAGAAATGAGTGTGTTGAGCAGGAGAACAGAACAGGCAGTGGTCAGGTAGGAGGCAGCATGACTTGGAACAGAGTGCAGTGCTGTCTGGGCTGATGTGTTTGTTGGAGCCTAGTGAAAAATAACACAGGTGATTCGAATGTTTGAGCTGTATAAGAGCAAAGGTGTTGGCCTCAACTCAGTCAGAAGCATCTGTGGGCTTGAGCATGGTATTGAAATGATGGAGTTCTCAGGATAAGGGTCAACAGTGTGCAGTGTAGGCAGAGAATAGACCCAGGATTTGCAGGACCAACTGGGAGAGAGATAGCAGGGAAGGGGGTCTTTGGAAAAGACTTGAAAACAGAGGACTGAAAGAGGAAAGATGTGTCTGAGAAACTGAAAGAAAAGAAACTAGATGTCTTAGAGCCAAAGCTGACTCACAGATACTGAGGCTGATAGGCTGGATGAAATGGGGATATTACCAAAATATCAGTAGTGCATTTTTGAGCTATTATGTAATTTAAATTAAATTTTAAAATTAGATTTTTAAGTGAAACAAGTAATAATTTCAAATATTAAAATATTTTGGTTGATATAATAAAACTTGAATTTACTCACAAGGAAATTTTAAGACTTCAAGAAGAGAATGAGAAATTGAAGTCAAGGTTGAAGACCATTGAAATACAGGTAACTGAGAAATGTTTTGACACAATTATTGAACTGCCTGCAGACTAAATACTGAAAGTGTTTTGTTTAAACTTCACTATAGGCTACAAGTGCACTGGATGAAAAGTCAAAACTAGAAAAAGCACTGCAAGATTTACAACTTGATCAAGGAAATCAAAAGGTGAAACAAGTTTTAGCTATCTTTTTCACATTTTCTAAGTAGAATGAAGTTATAAACTTAAAATTAAGTCTTAGTTACTGCTCACTGTACCCCACCCCTTGCCACTCCCTGAGACGAATGCCTCTATTTTCCTGTGTTGGGACATCCTTGCCCCCGAAAGGCCTGGCGAGAACCAGTGGCCTTCCCTCTGTATCCTCCAGGGCAGAGGGGACAGTTCATAGTTCACACATCTGCAGTTTCCCTGGCATGCAAGATGTCCTCGCCATTTCCTGCAATTTCCTTGGCCTGCATGATATTCTTTTTTTATTCTTTTTTTAAGTTTTCCCCTTTCACGTTGACATCCAATTACAGTGGAGGGGAAAGGAAATGAAGAAAAGTTTTTAATTGGTTTATATTTGGGTTTTATTATACTGAACATTACTTAAGTTTGCCTTTGATGAATGTGACAAAATGATTATGAATCTGCAGATGCATCTGTACCCACCGGTAATATAGAGTACAATGAAATCCAGTGTTGTAGTTCTTCACGCTTGTCTGAATGTAATGACTGAATGTCACTCTGCCTGCGGGAAGTCATTGTATGTACAGTGTCTCCTGTGGCCTTTCTGTTGAGTGTGCATGCTACAGTATGATTTCCTATGAGCAGGACCATTTGGGTAAATATTCAGTGCAGCACTGGCTTTTCTAGTGGTCATACTCTCATTGCAAATGTCTGGTAAACAATCTCAAAATCTGCTTCACTGGGCTTTTGCTAATCTTTTCTCTGAAAAATTTCAAACATACGCAAAAGTAGAGAGAATAGTATCGTGAACCCCCATGCACTCATCATTCTATTTAGCGGTTACCAATGCATGGCCAGTCTGGTTTCATTTGTACCTCTTTCTTCTTCCCACCCGCCATGTTTTTTTGAAGCAAATCTCAGACATTGAACCATTTTATCTGTAGATATTTTTAAAATAGGAGGATACTTCTTATATAGCTAATGATTTTCAACCATTATATGCCAAGGACAATAGATTTATAAAAACACGAATGTTCCAGAACAGCTTTATAATTCCTCATAAGTCAAACAATTGCAAACACATTTGGATGATGAATTTGTTTAAAAGCTTTTTGGGGCTTTGCTCCAATTTTACTATAAGATTTTGGACATAAGAACAACCAGTGAATACATGCTTTTATTAGTTGCAATGAAATAAAATCTTTTTTTCAAAGACCAGGTTTCGAAAATGAGGAAAGATTTTTTTTTTCTTTTGTTGAAAGTACTTTTTTTTTTTTGGAGATAGGGCCTTATTCTGTCACCCAGGCTGGAGTGTGGTGGTGCAACCATGGCTCACTACAACCTTGACCTCACAGGCTCAAGCGATCCTCCCACCTCAGCCTCCCAAGTGGTTGGGACCACAGGCATGTGCCACCATGCCTAGCTAATTTTTTATATTTTTTGTAGAGATGGGGTCTTGCTTTGTTGCACAGGCTGGTCTCAATTTCCTGGGCTCAAGCAGTCCTCCTCCCTTGGCCTCCTAAAGTATTGGAATTACAGGCATGAGCTACTGCTCCTGGCCGAAAGTACTAAGTATTTCTTCATCCACATATTAACCAATTGTAGATGATTTTACTGTCTTATCAATACAAATGTTTTTTCTGTCGTGAATCTTACCCAGTCAAAAACAAGATCCGGGAAGAGAGAAGATCCAGTGCTTGTCTTATGCTGTAGTTGTCAAAAGTATGCAAAAATGTACATATTAATATAAAAAACTTAAAATCTTAAAAATTTAGAAAATCATGTAATCAGTAATTGGGCTCTCATATTATTTTCTTGTAAATAATGACTAAAACGTATGTCTATTAAGTTTTTGGTATAAATTATATTCTATCATTTTTTAGAATTCAGACTTCTTTAAGGATTTTTTTAAACTTGGCTTTTCAAAATGAAACCTATTTGCCATCTCAACCCTGGTACACACATCTTGGATTGAAATACCAGCAGTTCACACATCATATTTTATGTATTTGGAATTCAGCGGCTACTGAGTGTCAGCTGTGTGCAAGACACCCCACACCGGGGGCTGACAGTGGACTGGCCTGCTGGTGACTCTGCAGGGGCTGGCACTTACCTAGGCTCTAGGCTGGCAAGGGGGGCTGACATACACACACAACATAGAGCATTTTTTTCATCTCCTTTGATGTTGAATCACCATTCTAAAATAGTTATTTTTAGAATATCAACATGAAATTACATGCATGCATTTATTTTTCATAGGATTTTATAAAGGCCCAAGACTTGAGTAACTTGGAAAACACTGTCGCTGCTTTAAAGAGTGAGTTTCAGAAGACACTTAATGACAAGACAGAAAACCAGAAGTCACTGGAGGAGAATCTGGCGACAGCCAAGCACGACCTACTCAGGGTTCAAGAGCAGCTGCACATGGCTGAAAAGGTCAGAAGACCGTGTTTAAAGGATTTGTCTGTTAATGTCCAATTAACTGATGCACACAGTAGAGAGGAATACATGTGACTAAGGTAAACATTGGACAGCTGCAAATTCAGATTATTTTTTCTCAAGATATTAGCCAATATGTTCGAAAGATTAATCATTTCCAGGCACTGATATTCTTCCATCTTTGGTACTACAATATCTGTGATAAGAAGATATCTCCCCGCTCTATGGCGTGGTGAAATGCTCCTCTGTAGGTGGCTTGAATCCTGCCCCACATCCAACGGTGTTGTTCTTCTGCTCCTTCTTCCCACAGCCTGCAGAGGGATGGGGGACTGGTTTTTTTTTAAGGATTTGTATACTTTCGTCATAATTTATATAAAATATGTAGAGAGCTAGATTCTTCACTTTGGGGATTAGACTCTTAAGAATATGCCTGTAATCCCAGCACTTTGGGAGGCCAAGATGGAAGGATTGCTTGAGGCCAGGAATTTGAGACCAGCCTAGCCAACATAGCAATTTCTCTATAAAGAAATTAAAAATGTGCTCATATAAAAAATGGAAAAAAGAATATGGGAACTAAAATTTAAATTAAAAATCCTTTTGCTAAAATACACTACTTTGGGACTTGGGAAAAAAGTGTGCTTATTTTACTGGAAAATTAGTGTAATGTTTTCAAATAGATTTCTCATATCCAGGCCTTGAGTTATTTACCAACACTGTACTTGGGAAAATGTTACTATTTTATGGCTTCTCATTTGAAAGAATATATTTTTAAACTTTGGATAGTCTTAATTTTATATAAATGTGTCTTTTAAGGAAATTAGAAAATCATTAGCAAAATATTAGTAAAATTCAAGCAAAAAAAACTACATATTTTTATCACATTTGTTATCTCTTTCCTTAACTGTTTTTTTAGTAATGGGCTGACATTTTTTACTAAGCAGGAATTGGAAAAGAAATTTCAGCAAACAGCAGCTTATCGAAACATGAAAGAGATTCTTACCAAGAAGAATGACCAAATCAAAGATCTGAGGAAAAGACTGGCACAGTAAGCCACACTGATCCCACCTTGGATTTCTCTCTCTGGATTGATGTTTGTTCTCTGTTAAATCTAAGCTTGTTCCAGAGAAGTCAAGCTGGTGGTAGTTGCTGGATCATTTAGTCCAGAAGCCTTCATTTAAGGAAACTGGAGGAGCTCCAGCCTGACCTTATCTATAATGCCCACCAGGGCTTCTTTTTAGGTTCATCTAGGCCTTTAGACTCACACAGGCCTACAGTAAGCTCCTCTTGGCAATGGATCCACTTAGCAGGATGTCAGACAGGAAACACAGCAAGCTCACAGGGCAGTATTAGGCAGTTCTCTTCTCCTCAGTGGTATACTCTAAGCAGTCCAAGAACTGGTCTTACTGTTCCCCTAAGTGACAGTTTAAGTTGGAGAGAGTGAGATTTTTGCAGATGGGTGTCACAGCCAGCTTAGAAGTCCGTGTTCTACATAGGCTTAGCATCTCTTGTAGCAGTCACATGATGCCCAGTTAAGGGTATGTCCAGTTAAAAGAACTTATCGCACAGGGGGAAACCTAAAGGGGTGGCTCCTACCACGTATTTATAGTTATTCATAGTCCTCCAGGTCCAGATGTGGTCATCAGATGTTTTGCCTGGAAACTGAGTTGACATTTACCTTTACCAGAGTTCCAGGGGAGCAGAGCTAGAAAGGGAATTCAAGGTGAGATTTGTCCTTAGAGAAGTAGATTTGCTAGACCTTTACTCATATAGTCATATCAACTATTCTTGTCAATATGATGATTGAGGTAATTATACGAAGTTATCGCAGGTCTAAATGCCAAATATAGAGACTTGGAGTCTTAGCAGTGATCTGGCCTATCCTCCTACCTGATGTAAAAATCCCCTCTGAGTCACCGTCAAAACAAAGTTGAATATGTCCAACTTCTATCATAGCAGTAATTTGAAGTGAGAAATACAGTGCCACTGCTTCAAGTAAACTTATTTGGTAATAACAACAACAAAAGGTATCCTGACATTGTGTTCTTAATTTATATCTCCAGATATGAACCTGAAGATTAAAACTGAAGATTTCATCTGGAAGCTGCCACACACAAACATACAAGCAGTCTCACCTCAGGCATGTATTTTGAAGCATTTTGTCATATCCCCTCTCCTTATTTTTCTAATATTTAGACTTCTAATATTTAGAACTAGAGCTCCTATTTTCAGCTAATTGAAAACAGAGAAAACCTAGTGATTCTGTCTGGTTATCCCACATGCCTCTCTACTGAGTGCTCCAGAGTCTTAGCTCGCATGCACCGAGAATTCTTTACAGCAAAGAAGAGATTTTTAGAGTGGGAAGAAAGAGGCTCATCCTTCTGCATTAGTATAAAGAGTCTTATCTTTTTAATAAATGTTAAAGAAGCTAACAGTGTTTGTACTTATGCATTCCCCATGGGTAAAAATAAATAATAGCATTATTAAAGATAGTTATTACCAAAAAAAAGATAGTTATTACAAATAAATATGTCTCTTTATTTTTAAAAATGAAATCTTAATTCATTTACTCTATCTGATGATAAACTATGAATTCATTGAAAATGTGAATTCTATCTATTATGGGTAGCTTTACCAATTATAAGGAAAATTTACAGCAGTGAACATGAACATTCAGTTAACTTCCTCAGTCTCTCCATCTTAAAGACCATTTATCAGAGGAGATTCAGCGTTTTTTGCAGCATAACATTTCGTGAGTCTGTATTACTAATGGATAAGTCAAGTCCATCCTGCACTTCTACAGTTCAGAAAGTATCTGGACTCAGAATAAATGTAATATTTATACTTGTTTCCAGAATGTTATTTTACATTTTATGTTTAAAAAGAACACTTTTTAAAAGACATAGTCAACATAAAATCACCTATCAGACTTCAGATTGGACTTTATTTATGTGGATCTATAATAATTAATTGTGTTTTCAAGAGGTTTTACTGTATTTGTATTGGCCTGGTTTTCTCAGACGATTTTGGACAAATCATTAGAAACTGGGCATCATATCCACAGTTGTGTAAGGCAGTGACATACTGTAAGGAGAAACAAAGTCAAGTCCATAAAGCAATAATCCCTCAGAAGGAAAGTCCTTACTTTTCACATATTAATATTTAGTAATTTTTCCCGCTTCTAAAAGTAAGAGTATCACACCCTAAGTGAACACTGTCTACTAAGAGACACCATTCCACTTCCACAAATGAAGATTTTATTCCAAGAAACGAGTTTACTGATTGGAGCTTAGGGCTTGTTATTATTCTTATTCAGGCTTTTAGTAATACCCTTGAATTTATTATTTTTCTTATAGGCTTTTTGTTAAAATAGTGAAGAAACAAATGTTAAAGGGTAAGATAATTTCCCTGCAAAAGGACACAGAAGGCAGTCTTAAGAAGATAAATGGATCAGAGAAGGGAGAGAAGAAAATGCAATAACAAGCCAGCATTTACTATGTATTTTCTCCTCACCTCTCTCTCCATATTTAGGTCATTTACCAGTGTCTGTGCCCTTTTGGAGCTTTTGTTGAGGGCTTCATTCTCATCCTGTATTTCTTTAGCCCTAAATTGACACTCTCTCCAAAAATCCATTCCGTTGTCTGTGGACCAAGATGTTCTATGTAATTCAGAAGCAGAACTCTTGGCTAAAGGGCTAGTGTGTCCTTCAGAAACCATTCAATTACTTTCTCCGTACACCTTTGTCAGTTTGATACCAGTGAGGAAAAAAGGTATGTTGATAAGAAATCTATATTGCTAGGTAAAATTTGTACTCGTTTTCTTGATAGCAATTTTGAAATATTCTGTACAGTAAGTTCCTATCGTTTAATAATAAATTCAAAAATATTTTTAAAACCTTAAAACCTAACTATGCCAAGCATTAAGATAAACAAATATGATGTTCTTTGATGTAAATCAACATGATGATTCTTTCACATGCAAACACATTTTAGTGTTTCTGGTTTGTCATTTTTGTTGTTGTTGTTGTTATTTACTCTATACCCTTAGCAAAATTACAGTTTTAAATTTTTATTGTTTTTAATAGTTTTCCAACTTTAAGATTTATCCCATTTAACTGAGAAAGAAAGCCTTTTTCATATATATATATATGGAATTTCTAAGGATGTTGGTTTGAGCCTTGATTAGACTTTTAATGTGCTAAGCCAGACAGGCAGTCTGTACATTGGTGGCCATCACAATGCAACTTTGGTTTAATATAATTCAGGCCTGCTGCTGAGTTATGCACAGACTTTTTGTTGACCAAAATAAAATGTAAAGGGTTTTCTTCTGTTTGACATTTTAGTGTTCATTTTTTCTCTTTTATGTATTACATTTTTAACCTATATTAAATAAATGTTTAAATGATCATTTGCTTATGTCTTATAAAACTCAGCATAAGAAAAATACTGCCCTACCTTGACTGTGTAATCTTATTTGCTAAAGCCTTTGCTGTTAATTATTTCCATTCTGATTAACTGAAAGAGATTTATAGAGATGCTTAAATTTTAAGCCCTTGGTGCTTTTAGATATATACTGGTTGCAAAAATTTGGCATTAATGATTTCCCTCTGCTTATGTGTAAATGCCTGTGTTCCAAAGCTTTGCCACTAGATATTTAAAACGTAAATGGTCACGTAAGCCAGTCTTCCAGAAAGCAAAGCTATTTCAGCAAAATGATATTTCACATTTAGACAAAACAGTAGTATTTAGACAAGAATATTTTGACCAAACCATTTTCAAAACTGCTTAGGAAAAAGGGGAAATATTATACTTAAAGGTAATAACCTCTGTCTTGAAGAGAATAGAGGTGAGTGGGTTGGTGACAACTGATTTGGAGGCTTTTGTAGGGGCCTGTGGTGTCTTTTGCATTGTGTCATCAGCTCCTCCATCAAGTAAGCGTGTCGCTGTCATTGCTTATTGTAGAACATGAATTGATGAAGAGTAGTCAATCTCTTACATTATATGAAGTATAACTTCCTCTCTTTTTTACCTATAATACATCCTTTAACTTTTACAGATTGAAAAACCACTGTTAGACAAAGCAAAATGGAACTTGGAAAATCCTGTATAGTTTTGTAAAATAGCAATGGGCTTACTGTCAAATTAACTAATAGCTTATTAAATAGATTTTCATGAGCACTTGGAAAAGAAACAACCACCAGGAGCCAGCATGGATCTCCCTAGTAAGAAATCAGGTATGGCAGGGCCAGTTGCAGTGTCTCATGACTGTAATTACAGCACTTTGGGAGTTCCAGGCAGGGGGATTGCTTGAGGCCAGTAGGTCAAAACCAGCCTGGCCAATATCGCAAGACCCCATCTCTACAAAAAATTTTAAAATTAGCTGGGCATGGCAGCATATGATCACATCACTACACTCCAGGCTTGGGTGACAGAGTGAGACCCTGTCTCCAAAAAAAAAAAAATCACATATGGCAGACTAAACTAATTTGTCTTTTTTTTTTTTTTTTTTGAGACAGCGTCTTGCTCTGTTGCCCAGGCTCGAGTGCAGTGGCGTGATCTCGGCTCACTACAAGCTTCACCTCCCGGGTTCAAGCCATTCTCCTGCCTCAGCCACCCGAGTAGCTGGGACTACAGGCACCCGCCACCACGCCCAGCTAATTTTTTTGTATTTTTAGTAGAGACGGGGTTTCACCTTGTTAGCCAGGATGGTCTCAATCTCCTAACCTCGTGATCTGCCCACTTCAGCCTCCCAAAGTGCTGGGATTACAGGCGTGAGCCACCACACCTGGCCTCATTTGTCTTTTTAAAAGCATGAGAGGTATATAGTATGTCAGAATTTCGGCAAGGTGCTTGACAAAGACCTCATGATAGTCTTCTTGAAAAGAATCTTAGGTAGGTTTTCCCAAGGATTTGGGTGCAGGTAGTTTATTTGGTAAGTGATTTCAGGAAATCCTGCAGAAGACTGAGGAACTGAGACAGATCGAAAGAGTCACCACCATGGACAACTGAGACCCAATCCTGCTGGGGACCCTCTGAGACACGGTATGGAAAACATCTCTGAATTATTGCACTGAAGGACAAAGTAGCTGGGAATATTATCCACCACTTTCCATCCCTCACTGGTTGAGGGTCGATTCTGAGGTATTAATTCCTTGTGATGTCCAGCCTGCCTGGATGTGGACCAAGTTCACCCTCATAACCAGAGAATGCTCTCAGGCAGAGACTCCAGAAGCCAAGCATGGGAACTGTCTGCTTGCAAACTCGGGAGTAGATGGGGAGTGACTGTTAATGGGTCCTGCATTTCATTTTGAGGGGATGAAATGTTCTGGAATTAGATAGTGGTAATAGATGTACAACTTTGCGACTGTGCTAAAGATCACTGAATTGTATACTTTAAAATGATAAGTTTTATATGTGAGTTATATCTCAATTTAAAAAAAAAGAAAACCTCTGGGAATAAATGAAAGGGATATGTTGAAGTAACCACCAGCATCTCCAGTCATCCACCCCGCTCTACTATACCACCTGGTGTCCCATGTTAAGTTCACTTTCTCTCGAGGATAATGGCAGGTCACAATATTTTTAAAACAAAGAATACAAAAAGGAAAACATCAACTAAAAGGTTAGTGGGACAGGCTGTAGTCTTCTGTGTTGCGTATTGGTCCTGAAGCCATAATTAACATTTATTATCTCCCTCTTCTACTTATTCTAGATTCCTCTCACCCTCAACCAGCACTTTTGCCGGTCAGCATGGCTGGCCTCATGAGATGACCTAGACTTTCCTTTCTTAGATGTCTGATCATTTTGCCCCTGTCCTGCTGTAGTTGTGAAATGTCCCATTTATTGTTACCCCACATATCACTAAGAGGTACCCCTACACTACAGCCTGAACCATAGAGAGGTACAAAGCCCTCCTGACTGTGTACTCAAAACTTGCAGCCTTCTGAGTGACCCAAGAAATGGTCAGAGCAATATTCCTAAGTGTTGTACATGCTGACTTCAGAATCCAGATAATACTCCCTAGTGCTTGCCTCTCTTAGTAGTAGAAGGTACAAAATGCAGTAACTGGTTCTTGACTTGGCAGGATGTCCCAGTATTCCCTAGATTGCTGGACGTCTGGCCTCTGAATTTTTGTAGGAATTACTTCCTTCTCTCTGGTGCATGTGTCATAAGGAACACTCAGATTATTTGCCAGTTCATTCCTGTTCACCAAGTCCAGCTAACATTTTGTCATCAAAGTATTGGACCAGGATGATGTTCTGCAGAATGTCATGATGATCAAGGACTTCTTTGGACTGTTCTGTAACAGAGCAGGAGGGTTTATATGCTCCTGGAGCAAAACCGTGAATGTACACTGTGTTATCTGACCCAGGTGAATTCATCCTGTTCTTGATTCTCTTTTCTGAAGGGGATTTAAAAGAATTCATTAACCAGATCTCCAGCCTCATACAAGTGCTGACTTGAAGGGATACTACATCCAGCACAGCAGCTGCCATTGGAGCTACTTCTGCCAATTCTTGGTTTCTGTTAGTCCACTGTCATCTTCCACCATCTATCTGTGTTTTGCTCTGTTTTGCTTTGCAGGAGCCATTAAATGGGATATTGTGGGGACCACTGTCAATACTCCTGGGATATGGTGTTGCCTCTGATTTTGACCAGGAGTGGGGAGGGGGTGGGATGGAGAGAGCATTTTGGATCATTAAATAAGCCTTTTCTACCATTATGGCTCTTATCCCTCAGGTCAAGAAACCAATTTTGGGGTCTCTCAGTTAAGTACACTCATCCCATTTATCCTCTCAGAAGCAAGGGAGATCAGGGGATTGACCCACAGGCCTATTGGATCTACCCTGAGATGGCCTTGGGTCAGAAATTTATAGATTGCCTATCCTATATGTCCCACTCTAACATGAGGGCTCTGATGGTGCTTTAGATCCTCTGGGTATATCACTCAGGCCCTGTGTTCAGTAGTTCTTGAAAGATGTGTATATTCTACTTTCTCAGTGTACAGTTACTCTGAGAAATGGCCATGGGGCTCTTTGGGAAAGATTTGAGAGAGTGTGTATTGTGTAAGATTGCTATAGTGCTCCAGGGCTCCTCCTCAGGACACCCAGCCTCTCCTTCAATCCATGGGCTCTGGAACTGAGAACTGACTGGATCTGGTAACTATAAGAGATCAGGATTTTCCACTGTGGTGGCTGACATCAGTCTTTTACTCATCAGCTGTTTGGTTAGTTGGCTTGATTTTATAACAGTAACTTCATTGACTGCCCATTCATCTCACCTCTAGGAGCGCCATAATCTCTTAGCCACTTGTCCTTGGCTCCCTGGTTGTTGTTCTGGCCTTGCGGCCCATTAGGTTACTGTATTCATTTTATTCCTCTAAAGTCTGAGTGCAGACATTAGTTTTTTTGTTCTGGAATCCTTCCTTCCTATGATAGGAAGCCCAGTTACGTGCCAGGATCGTCTATTGTCCATTCTAGCCAACAGAAGACAGCCACCACTGAGCTTCTCAACAATGCTAATGTCCCCTTACCAGTGCAGTCTTCATTGTTTCAGTGAAGGGAATACCCCTGCCCATGGGTGGGCTCTCTTGCCTTATATCCATTCTAGCATGCCATCCCTCTGAGCCTTCTGACCCCTCCTCAGCACTCTTGTTAAGCATTTGTGGAATCTCCACCTCGTTTTTGGCATACCATCATCCTCAAGCACCAAGGCCCATTGCAGCAGTGTATTAGGACTGGCTCCATGTGTTCTTACATGCCAAATCCTGAGTCACAGAAGCCTGTCTCTATGTCAATAAACTCTTCCTTATCCAACTTCTTTTCTACTTCCCACTAGGCCAGCATCCTCAAGATCCATAACCATACATGTTCTTCCAGTTTCTGCCAGTCCAGGTTCTGTTCTTTTGGGGGAATAATCCATTTCTTCTCAAAGCAGGATAATATTTCTCTGCATAGGGCATGTTGGTATTCAGCCCTGTTTACTGGAGTGGAAGTAGGGACAGATCTTGAGGAAGACCAAGGTTATCTTGCCAGTCTCCTTTCAAGAGAGGACTTGGAATGGCTTCCAGGTGATAGGAGGCTACTCTCCTCTAGCAAAAGGGAGTGAACCACTTCTGCTAGACCCAAGGGTTCAGAAGAATCTGGGGTATCAAGGTTGTTGAGGGCATTTGCCCAAATGGGCCCCACATATCTCAGAGTCACACTCCTTCCCAATCAGGGCCCTGACTTAAGCAAAGGAGCCTTTCTGGGCATGTGAATTTGGTCTCCTTTGTATGTGCACCACCATTGTAATCCAATTATGGGTCGGATTCTCAGTACATTCTGGCTTCTGCACATAGGAGATGTGGGTTCTTTTAAATAGAGACCTGGGAGCTTTCTAGTTGTCAGGGCATCTCTTCAGGTAATAATTGGCTAATCAGAGCCTGTCTTCTCTTCTTTCATTCCAGTCCATACCCAGGTGAGAGTGTAGGTAACTGACCCAGTAGTGTGACAGGGCTTATCACCACTACACTTACTACCAGCAGTGGGATCCTGTTGTCATCTGGCTAGCATCAAGTCCAGTGTCTCATCCTGAGACTACTTTCTAGGGCCATTTCTGGCACCAGATGTTTTATTTCGGCTTCCCCAAAAGCAAATCCCTGAGGCACGGTTCTTGGTTGAAGTGGGGAGGTGATCCCAGAGAGTGGGGTGAGGGTACGGAGGCATGAAACAGGAAAGGGAAGAAAGCAGATAAAAAGTGTGTTAATGAGCAGGTTAGCACTGTGGACCACCGCACTGAATCCCACTGAGAAGTGAGGAAGCTGGGAATGCATCCACCAGGCCTTCAGTTATCAAGATGAGGGTTACCCCTGAGATGTTAACTACTTGTTGGACCTAGGCTGAACATGCTTCCATAGCCAAGAAAGGGCTTCAGGTGAAGAGACACAGAGAACCTTCTGCAGGCCACATTCCAGGCTGGGATAAGGGGAATTGGGTGTGACATCAATAGCATCTCATCCCACAGTGAACTAAGAAGATAGAAGAGCAAATGCAATGAATATTTGCATGCTTTCGATACTACTCATCAAAGGGTCAACTCAACTTAGAAGAAATTACAAACCCTGATCAGCATTTTCAGCCCAGTATGCTCACGTGGCCAAGCCACAGCTGCCTTTAAATAGTAACAACTCTGGGAAAAAAAAAAAAAAAAAAAAATCCCTGGACTGAGTGCCTGGAGCAGAGCCCGTCATTGTGACTCAAGTATCACAGGTGCTCAATCCAAACACTTGTGAAATTGAACTTCTGTTTCCTGGCCAAGTACTGCTTAAGCCATGAAAAACCTTGGTGGGTACGTTGTAAAAGAAATCAGATATTACCTATAATTTCCTAACAGTAAAATTTCTCCATGTAAATAACCCAAACTTCTTTAAAATCAAACATTAAAAACTTTTAATACAAAATATAATTTCCTGCCTTCTTAAGCAGTGAGTCATAAGCATAATCTTATCTTTTCCTGATGACTCAAAGTCATTATTACAAGTGTCAGTTATTGTCCTGTACTGCAGTGCCCTCAGGACTGCTGAGGTATGGAGCTGTTTGCCCCTTTAGTCCGTGGTTTATAAGCACTGTTTTTTTAAACTGCTGCGTCTGCCTTTTATGGTTTATGCATGTTCTTTCCTTTTAGACTAGTAGCTAACACTGGTTTTGTTTGGTTTTCCAATCTCTGTTACCATTTTCCAAGGTGGGCTTGGAAAATAAATGGAGCCATTTCTTAGGATTATACTTAGCTTCCGGATGAGGGCTTAAGGGACTCTGTGTGGAGAGCATAGGCTTTGTGACATCTTTGCTGCACCAAGACCTTTTTAGATTGCTTTATAAGAGAACGTTAGTCTTCCAGGTTACCAGCTTTATTTCAGATAGTTAGGGTTTCCAGGTAAATAATTTTGGATAAGTGAGATTGTGTGCCTTTTATTTATTTCTCTTGCCTTATTGCACTGGCTAGGACCTCTAGTCCAATGTTGAATAGAAATGATAGCATCTTCGCTTCATTCCCAGTCTCAGGGAGAACACTTTAACTATTTCACCAATAAGAATAATGCTTGCAGGCTAGGCATGATGGCTCACACCTATAATCCCAGCACTTCGGGAGGACCAGATGGGCAGATCACCTGAGGTCAGGAGTTCAAGACCAGCCTGCTCAACATGTTAAAACTCCATCTCTACTAAAAATACAAAAAAATTAGCCAGGTGTGGTGGTGCATGCCTGTAGTCCCAGCTACTCAGGAGGCTGAGGCAGGAGAATAGCTTGAACCTGGGAGGTAGAGGTTGCAATGAGCCGAGATCGCACCACTGCACTCCAGCCAGGGCAACAGAGCAAGACTTCTCAGAAAACAAAACAAAAAAACAAAAAAAAAAGAATAATGCTTGCTATATTCAGTGTCAAATTAAGGAAATTCTTTTCTATTTGTAGTTTGCTAGAAAAGCTTTAACTATAAATGAGTG